ATATGTGTTATGTAATACCATAATTGCGGTTTGTTTTTTTATTTCAGCATATAGAGATTGCAATGTTCTATCTTGAATTGAAGAGCATTCAATACAGCTTGATCCAGACATACACAACAGCGTCACCATATTTTTTGTAAGGACTCAAGACACACCAGGAGATGGTAGACGTCGGAAAGGTGAAAATGGAGGCTGTGATTGAGAATTCAAGTTTATCAAGTGAGGCCGGTATTAGAATAAGCGTGAGAATATGCGAAGCCTTGGTGTGCATGTGATTTTGTATATATGCCTTTGAACACTGGGAACCACTGAATGTTACTTGTGCTCGAAGTTGAAGGAAGGAAGATAAGGGTTTATAATTCTAAAGAAAAGAAAGGGCAGACAAGTAGGGATTTCATTCCATACGTGGCGTGTATATCATCATTGTTACCCAAGCTTCTTGACATGTTGAATGTGTATGAAAATCACTCGGATGGGCTAATGGGAGATCAAAAGCTCTCAATTGATATAATTGATGGGTGTCCTCAACAAAGCAACGAGTATGTGGTAGTTAAGTATTATGATTTTGTGAGAGTCACCTTACCTGTGTTGAAAATGTAGGCAGTAAAAAATGTTTACTGACTTTAAATTTTGTATACAAATGCAGGTGTAATTCTGGTATGTTTGTAGTGAAATTTGCAGAGTTTCTAATGATGGAATTAAGCATAGATGAAGTGCAGTCATGTGACATGGAAGGTTACCAGGTTAAACAGACAACAGAACTTTTAGCTTATAGCTACGAGAGGAAAGAAGAATCCAGCAAGAAATAGACTTTTTTTATACCTTGGATATTTTAATGTTCGTATGACAGTTGTTTGGAGTTTGTTTTAGTTTTTTTGTGGTATAAATGATATTTTGATTTGTTTTAGTAATAATTTATGGGTATTTAATTAATTAGTGAATTGAGAAGTGGATTGCTGGAGACTTTTTTATGTCACACTGCCATGACCATTCCATGTTTCCAAAATTGTTTAGGCAGTCACTGCACACTTTGTTTAAAAAAGTACAATATATGCTACAATGTATGCACACTCTTCACTGCCACATTATAAATAAGTATGAAATTCAATGCTCTTCACTACCACAATATGTTTAAGATTGAATTTAGTGCCCTACCACATACGAGTCTTCTGAAAAAAAGAGCAGAATTTATTTTATTTCGTGGGATTTAGTTCTTTTACGGTAATTATACACTAGAATATGTAATCTCTACAATGCCAGAATATGTTCTTCCAAAAATTCAATGTGTAAAATACACATCAACAGTATTTACACCGCCACATAATATACACAATGCCAATAACTCACTGTTTGAAATACACTTCCAGAATATATACACTGCCACAATATATCTACACTAGCACAATATATTCACTGCAAAAAATTCACTGTCGTAATACACTTCCACATTTCACAAGGAATTTATTAAGAAGTAAACGAATGCAACTTATACCCTATTCACTTTTTGTAATTCAATGGTGCAAGTGGACAAAGTATTATATATTACTAAACAAAATCAAGTTATAGTATAAGGAGTACAACTATTAAAAGAGTGAAAAAACAAAGAATGTGTCTGAACAACGTCAAAAATGGATGAAGGAAATTGTTGAGAATTGTATATTATACGGAATATGAAAGAATGGAGTGTCAATTTGGTATTGGGTTTTTGCATGTTTTTACGTTATGCCCCAAATTCAAACATCGTGTGCATCTTTGCTTTCTACGCCCATGGCCTATTTGAAATTCACCGACAGATGGAAGTCTCCTCTTCTTTGGTCTACTCGGGGGACGCTTATTACAAGATGGAGGCTTGCAAATAACTGATGCAACATCCGGCGGAACACTTTAGGAAGATTTATCTCCTATTGGGTGCACAATGCCATTGTAAATAGCAACTAATGATTCCCGTCTGTAGTATAGTGACATAAATCATAACATGACAAACCAGGGCGAGATGCAATAGCTGCAACAGCATGAACACATACGAAATGGTCCAACTGAAACTCACCACAAGTGCACGTTCTGTCCCTAAGGTTAACAATAAACCTTTTTTTATTTGTATCATTTTTTTTTGTTTTGAAAAAGAAATAATGTAACGAACTTTTAATTATGTAAAAGCGTACCTGCGTATCTGAAAAAGGAGTGAATTATCTATTTGAACAGCACGAAGGTCCATGAGCAACGATCATCAACACAAACAACGTGTAAGCATGACTTGTTCGACCTCTTTGTCCTATACAGGAAGCTAATAGATAACATCCTATTAAATTAAGTAAATAAAGGAATGAACTCAAACAATATACATATAACCTAATATACACATTTAGTCAAACATGTGAAGAAGTTGAAAATTGTCTCCTAACCAATTATACTCTGCACCTATACTTCACAATGCGAACTTTAGTTTATTATATGTATACATCGCACAACACACTTCGAACTACACTATGTTAATCTTCAATGCCACTATGCGTATATTTTTTACTAGCACTCTAACACACTTCGAACATATGCCACTATGTTAAACATTCTCTACGAAGAAAAATAAGAAACAAATAAAACAAAAAAGCAGGGAAACATTTAGGCATTTAATCTTCACACTGCCCACACCATAGCACTTAATCTTGATAGTGCCAAAATCACACTGCCAAAATCACAATTCCTTTCAAAAGACCTAATTTTTCAAAAGGGACAAATACTAGGTATTTCAAAATTGATTTCACAACCCCTAATCTTTAGTATGAAGAAAACACAATAACTAAAACTAAAAATACATGGAAATCCGAATAAAAGGATGAAGGAATGAAAATTAAGAATTGAAGGAGAAGAGAAAATGATTAGCCACATCGATGAAGGAAGCCGAGATAACCTGTTGATAGATCGGTGCAGGAATCGTGGGAGAAGGCCTGAGGATGCATGGACCAGGGGCGACTTGTGCCGAACTTGCACCGATGAAGAGTACGTGCGGCTTGGCAGGAGGAGTGGCGTAATGCTTGGCAGGAGGAGTGGCGTAATTTTTAATGAGAAAAAGGAAAAAGGTTAAAGGGCATGATAGTAAAGGATTGACACAAAAAAGTGCTAAATTTGTTTAAAATAATAAGTAGTGCTAGATGCGTAATTTAGGGTGAGTTAGAGTGCTATGTAGGGTGATTACTTAAAATTTGGATAGCTTTGTTTGTGTACCCCAAGTTTGTACCTATCCTGCACTTTTGCACCAATACTTTGTGTTGGTGTAAAACTAATTTTTCTTAAACGCACTAACATTTGTGTTCGTGTGAATTTTTATTAACGCACCAACATTTGTGTCGGTGTAAACCATCGAAATGTTTGTGCAAACCTGTGGTGTACAAATGAGGTATATTTTTTGGTGTATGTGTAGCATGGTACAAATGGATTATGCTATGTGTACCCCAATTTGTACCCCGCAGTTTTGCACCAACACTTTGTGTTGGTGTAAAACTAATTTTTGTTAAACGCACCAACATTTGTGAATTTTTAATATTAATATCTTATTAATATTAATATATTTATAAAAAATTTACACTAAATAACACTAAAACATAAGTCATTTTGCAATGTATGAGTTAAATTTTTTTATTCTCTAAATAAGATTTAATAATGTCCAGTCAGAAGAATAATGTCAGTAATAGTAAACATTTACTTGAATAATGACTAATAAATAATGATTAATGATCCTATATTTAAAAAAAATATATGATCTTATACGTATAAGATCATATATATTTTTTTTTAAATATATAGCTCCCACACCAACGAACAATTTGTTGAGCATCAACTGTGGGACAAGAAGAAAAAGGTGATGATGGCTGGAGAGAGTATGTACCCCTTCTTAAGAAGAAAAAGAACGAATCAAGGGTTTGGTCTGACTTTTTCAAAATTCCAGGCAAGACTCCTCAAGATGCTAAAGCTAAATGTAAACATTGTGATAAAATATTTTCTGGTGGAAGTAAGAATGGGACTTCACATTTAGGACGCCATTTAGAAACATGTCCTAAAAAGATCCACCATGATATTAAGCAATATATGTTATCTGGTGACACTGATGGTCAGGATTCTACAGTTTTGACCAAACATAAACTTAGTGAAGCTGAAAGTCGAAAATTAGTGATGATGCACTTAATAGAAGATATGCGACCATTCGAAACAGTTGAGAGGAGAGGTTTTAAGAGGATGTTAAAAGGGTTCAATCCTCATTACAAACCTTTTAGTAGACACACTGCTCGGAGAGAGTTATTTAATATGTATGCTAAAGAGAGAGACATTGTCAAGGATTTGATTCTTACAGCCCCAGGTAGAATAGCATTCACAACTGATAATTGGAGAAATGGGCACACCGGAGAGGAGTATATTTGTGTGGTAGCTCACTTTGTGGATTCCAGTTGGCATTTACAAAAGAGAATTTTAAGGTTTAGGTCGTTGGCTCCTCCTTATGATGCTACGAATATTGCAGATGAGATTATATTGTTTTTGTCTCAGTGGAATTTAGAGCATAAAATACTTACTTTTACAACAGATAATGCATCATATGCTAAGCCAATGATAAATAACATAAAAAAACATGTCCTTTTGAAAGATACGCTAGTGGGTGATGGATGTTTCTTTCATATCCGGTGTTGTGCTCACATTCTAAATTTGATTGTACAAGCTGGGTTAGAATCTGTTGGAAAATTAGCTATAAAAGTGGAGAAAATGTGAATGAGAAATTGGTTTAATCTATTTCGTTCCTAACGTAGCCAAACGCAGCCTTAGATCTATTTTGACCACATTTAAATGGAGCTAAACTTACTCAGTTTGTTCCCCTTTTTGCTCGGTCAATAGAGCCTATCCAAGGCAGTTGGCAAGTTGCTCCCCACTTTGCTAATTTTGTGTGGATGATATTCATTCCCTTCTTCAATAAATAGCCAAGGGAGTAGCAGTGCATTAATACGGCTCTTCCACTTCAGAGCACACAAAATTCACAGAGTGATCAGATAAAATTCTCTCCTATTTCGTTCATGTTCGCCGGTGTTTATATACACGGTGTTAGTATCTAAACACGATCACTGTTTTATCCTGGGAGACATACGCCTCACGTTGTTCCAAACACCATCGGACGAGGCGAATACGTCTTAAGGACAGCCACATCTTTCCGGCGACTCAGTGCGTTCGTTCTGCTGCTCCATTTCGAGCCATTTACAACCTGATCCAGTGCCATCTTTCTTTCTCTGGTGTTTTTTGGCTACTGCAATTCTTCTCAGCTTGGTTACCATTTATCATTTGTTTCATTTTACTTATTACAGTAGCAAGTTTGTTGATTGTTTTCAACAGAATCAATATCTACTATACTTGATGCCATTCGTAACATGGTTAAGTGCATTCAAAGGTCTCCTGTTCGAAAAAAGAAGTTCTTTGATTTTGCAGAGAAAAATTTTAAGATGGAGACAAGGAAAAAATTCCGACTTGATATGCCGGTGAGATGGAACTCTACTTACTTTTTACTTGATCATGCATTGTATTATAAAGACGTGTTTATATATCTTAGCGAAAGGGACTCAGCTGTGAAATCTCTTGTACCTTCAGGAGATGATTGGGTTAAAGTTGCGTATGTTCACAAGTTTTTGAAAGTCTTTTATGATGTGACAAATCTATTTTCAGCTTCTAGACATCCCACATCAAATTCATATGTGCATGGAGTATGGAAAATCCAATCAGCTCTAAAGGATATTGAAAATGGTCCAGGTTATTTCTTGACAGACACAGTTGCTCGCATGCAGGCTAAATTTAATAAGTATTGGAGTGACTATAATACGGTATTATGTTGTGCTACTCTTTTGGACCCTAGATACAAAGTGACATTCTTGAAGTATTGTTTTGTTAAGAATTATGGGCAAGAAGGTGCTACATCACGTGTTGATAAAGTCACTGACACTTTGAAGTTGTGGTTTAAGGAGTATAATAAGCTGTCTGACTTTCAAGGTGATGTTCTTAATACAGGTTGTAACTTATCTACCTCTAATGAATCTGAATTAGACGATTAAGAGATGTTTGTCAATGAAGAGATGGCACAGACTGTAGGTTCTAAGAGTGAGTTAGATTTATATTTGGAAGAACCAATTATTGCAAGGAATGATAATTTGGACATCTTAGACTATTGGTTTAAGACATCAGTAAGATATTGATATGATAATATATTAGTTATATTATTTATTAATTAGTATTATTTATTAATATTATATAGTTAATCTAGTTTAGGGTTTAGTACGGGCCTAAGCCCATTAGGTCAGTTGGTGTTGCTGCATTACTCTATATATTGTACTCATTTCTCATAATTACGGAATCAATAAAGAAATATCAAACCCCTAATCTCCTTCTCTATTCTCTCGGAGCTCGGAAACGCTCGAAGTTTTCCATCTTTCTCTTCCTATTCTTCTTGGAGCTCGAAGAACGCTCGAAGTTCTTCCTTATCCGATACAAGATTCGTATCAATTGGTGCTTTCATTGTTGAACTCACCAAAAATAAAACCAAAAAATAAAAAGTTGTCATCACCGTTGAAGAGGAATCCGAGCTCCAGCGACAAAGCCACAAATTTGTCCCATCGCCGCTGTAGGGGCACGAGATTTGCGGCCGCCGTCTCCATTGTTATATCTTTGATTTGCGGGAGCAAATCTACAAAAAAAGAGGGCGAGAGAAGAAGATATCCTACTCTTTCAGCTTTGGCTCGAGACATTTTGACTATTCCTGTTTCTACAGTGTCATCTGAATCTGCTTTTAGCATTGGTGGAAAGATAATCACACCCACAAGAGCCTCACTTAAACCGAAAACAGTGCAAGCTTTGGTTTGCTTACGTGATTGGATGCTTGCAATTTGTGATGGTTAGTGCTTGGCCTTTTAATTTATTTAATTCTCATTACTTTGTTTCTGGCAAGTATTCTACGGAGTATATTTTCTTTACTTTTTCCATATACTTTTTAGCATACTAAATATGTTCATGTGATGAAGCATAAATTTGTAAATCAATATTCAATATTATTGATTGTAGGTGATGAAGCACAAAGTTCAAGTGATGAAGATGATGAAATTGATGCAGAAGAATTTGAAAATGATATCACACTTGTTTAGAATTAGTGTTGGTGTTCATATCATTGATGGAGAAGAATTTGAAACTGATACCTTCTGTTTTTATTTTTGCTAGAAGTTTATCTTAATAATTTTTATTTTGGATATGGATTTGATCTATGTACCTGCCTCACTGGTCACTTCGTTACTATAATATTGTTATGCTTTTGACTTTTGAATTTTTACATATTAGTTATTACACTTTATTCATTTTATGAAATATTTATTAAAATTAGTGTATTATTAATTTAGCGGGACGGGCCGGCCCGAAGCCCGTTGGCTTTCGTATGGGCCGGGCTTGGGTTTAAATTATAGGCCCGTATTCCGGGCCGGGCCGGGCTCGGGCCAAAAGAAAGCTTGTTATTTAGCGTCCTGGCCCGGCCCGAAACCTGGCCCGGCCCGTTGTTTGATCAGGTCTAAGTCACACGCAATATTAGATTTTATTAATAGCGTAATATACACTTTTAATTAAATTTACTATAATTAAAATTACTATAATTAATTTGATACGGTAATTAATAAACAATTATGTAGTCTCACGGTTATATAATTAATACCGTAGTTAATTATCACCTTTTTTTATTACTATCTTTCTTGCTAGTATAAATTTCGGGCACTTAATTAAAAAATGACAATTAATTATTATAAAGAGAAATAAACTTATCCTTATATTTTTGATAAAAGTTATTTGAAATAATCCCTTTCTTTTTGCCTTTTTTAAATAATACCATATTTCTCATTGTGATGTGTAATAATTTCACATTTTCACATGTGTGCAACTTTTAGATTATCGTTAACCAGCTAATGGTAACTTAATGAATTTCTACTGAAATTTGTTTGCGCAAATAAATAACATGCGAAATTATTTAAAGTAAATTTTCAAATTTTTTTCGTTTTAGTTTTTGAAATTATACTTTTAAAAATATAACCATACACTCTTGACCTCTTTTTAGATATTTTTCTATTTTAGAAAATAAAAAAGATCACAAGCTTTAGTTTATGCGAGATTTTAGAGAAATCATATTAGCACGTAGATTACCAAAAAAAACTTTAAAAAAGATGGAAAACATATCAAGTATATGGATAATATGGTACTATGAATACTACAAAATCTCTAACAAGAGTTCATGCAAGAGTGTATCTGATACGAGAAGGGCTTCGAGTGCCTTCGTACTCCAAAGGAATTTAGGGTTTTATTATTCAATGCTGCCTGTGTAGAATACATCCTCTATTTATAGTAGAGGAAACCCTAATCCAACCTTAACCTGTCGGTTCAAGAAAAGCGTCAAGAGAAAGAACCGAAAAGAAAACCCTTGAAGAAGCTTATAAACCGCTCACCTAAAAAAATCTATTACATGTAAATATGGAATTAATATATATATTAATATTATTTGTTGTATTATTGTAAGACGTAGTCTCCATGCCAACCCGGTGCTCTTTTCGCTCGTTGCCCCCGGCGTTGCCCGCGTTCACCTTGATTTGAAACCCTAGCCTCTTTGTCTCGACCCACGTCCGTATTCCTCTCTTCCTCAATACTGACCCGCGGCCTATCAGTAACATTCCCCACCGCTTGAGGAAACACCTTGTCCTCAAGGTGTAACATCGGAAATCGTTGCTGAATTCGGTCGTAGGGCTCCCATGTCGCATCGTCTCGCCCCCCATTAGACCACTCTACAAGGCATTGCTGGACCGGTTGCCTCGCACCAATACCTGACGGACTGCGTGAATGCGCACAGGTTCCGACACGGGCTGTCCATGCACGAACTCCTCCGGTAGTGAGAGCTGCTCCCGTGCCTCAGAGCTCCCATAGTAAGGACGCAGTAAGGAGACATGGAATACAGGATGGACCCGCGACCCTTCCGGCAACTCCAATTTATACGCAGCTTCCCCCACGCGAGCCAATACCCGAAACGGTCCATAGAATCACCGTGCCAGTTTCTGGGAGTTGCGTCGGACCACTGAGTGTTGGCGATATGGTTGCAATTTTAATAGAACTAAATCCCCCTCCTTAAACTGTAAGTCCCGCTTATGCTTGTTGGCCGCCGTAACCATCCGCCGTTGTGTCTCCTTGAGATGCTCCCGCAATCGACGAAGTAGAGTATCTCTTTCCCCCAAAAAATTATCTACCTCGGGTACCTTACTACTCCCTGAACGATATGGCAGAACGTCGGCGGTGGTCGTAATGGAGTCATCTGTAAACCCGTGTGGACGCTAGTATTGAGGGCGTACTCAGCCCAAGGTAGCAGTACCGTCCAGCGCGATGGTTTGTCCTGGGTGAACGCCCGTAGATATTGTTCTATCGCCCGATTCATCACCTCCGTTTGTCCATCTGTCTTTGGGTGGAACGCTGTACTCATTGCCAATGTGGTGCCGCTAGCCTTTAACGCCTCTTGCCAAAAGTTGCTACCGAAAACTCGATCCCTGTCCGAAACAATCGTTTTTGGAAACCCAGGAAGCTTAACCATGATATCAATGAATAAGTGGGCCGTGCGGTGCGCGTCGAACCCAGTTGGTAAATGCCCCCAGATGAACAACCTTTGTTAGTCGATCGACCACCACCAAGATCACCGTATACCCTCTGGAGGCGGATAAACCAACGACGAAATCCATAGAAATATCCTCCCAAACCTGCGTTGGAATCGGTAACGGTTGTAGTAATCTTGCGGGGGTTGCGTTGAATACTTGGTGGTCTGACATGTGTGACACCGCTGGACATACTCCCTGACGTCTGCTCTCATTCGCGGCCAATAGAAACTCTGTGCAAGACGAAGGTGTACCCCGGGTGGCCGGCCAGTGGGGTGTCGTGGTGCACCTGTATGAGTTGCCACCGCAGCGGAGAGAGTACTGAACTAACACACAATCGATGCTTATGATAAAGCAATCCATCCACCACCATGAAAGGTTCGGCCAACTGCCCTTGGACTTGCTGCTCATGTTTGGCGGCATGATCGGGTTGGCTTTGGTTTTCTCTGCACAGCTCTTCTAGAAGTTTGGGGACTGGTGTAGATAATGTCAGTAGCTGGTGTCCCTCCAGGCCCAATTCGTCTCGTCGGGATAGTGCATCCGCCACCCTATTGGATGCCCGGTTTATACTCGATCTTGAACTGATACCCCAATAGTTTCCGTACATAAAAATGTTGATCCGGTGTTTGCACAACCTGTTGAAGCAGCTCGCGTAGGCTTTGGTGGTCCGTCTGGATCAAAAACTCATGCCCCAGGAGGTATTGTCGCCACTGTTGAACAGCCTCCACTATTGCATACAACTCTTTGTGATAAGTCGAAGCCGTTAGCCGCCTCGGATTTGTTGGGAAATTGATTAATGATCAAAAGAAAAGAAAAGAATAAGGAAGAGGACTGTTAGCGGGTATGGACAATTGGATTGGGTAATAAGACACTTGAGCTGAACCACATTAAAAGATTGAATCCAATCGATTAGTTAGTTCAACTCTAGAGCTTATATACCGATTATTTTACTCTTGGATTTTCGATGCTTGGTAGTTCTCCTGTGTCTTGGAATACTAAGAAACAGATCACTGTGGCGCGATCATCTGCAGAGGCCGAATACAGAGCCATGGCCAATGCATGCGTGGAGATACGTTGGATGCACGGTATTCTTGGCGCGTTAGGCGTCCCCATTTTATATCCTCCACGGCTATATTGCGACAATCAATCAGCCTTGTATATTGTAGCAAATCCAGTGTTCCACGAACGTATGAAGCATATTGATGTTGACTGTCATACGGTTCGCGAATCTGTTCAGCGGCATGAGTTGTCTACACGATATGTTCCTACATGCTACCAGTTAGCAGATATTTTTACTAAACCCCTATCAAAACCAATCTTTGATTTTTTATTGTGCAAGTTGGGCATTTAAGACCTTCATGCGCCAACTTGAGGGGGAGTGTTAGCGGGTATTTGTAATTGGGTCGTAAATATTGTGTTATCGGGCCTGTACATTTAAGCCCATCATGTACTTGTATATATATCGTATCGTGAGTAATGAAACGAAGAACAGTTTCCGCTAAATTTTTACAAGGACAAAGAAGAAAAAGAAAAAGAAAATAAAAGAAAGGAACATGCATGCATACGAACCAATGCATGTGGGAGGATGTGTTCTCTCTTGTCTCTTAGTGATGCATGATATGGATGCATGTGATGTGTGGAGATTTTTGACTATAAAAGAGTTCACATTGCCTAGCTATGTGTGTGTGGTTTACACACCAAGGTAGAGAGAGAAGAGAAAGAGGTTCTACACAAGAATACCACCGGGAAAATCCAAGGGGTCTTGGTGAGTGTGGGTGAGTGTAGGGAGTAACTGGTTTTAGTTACTCGGAAAAATACATCCGGCATAGGATGTGGAAAGATCTGTTTATAAGTGTCTGAAATTTAGTCTTGTAAACAGGGGAGTGTTTTTTTTGTATATTGTCCTGAAATAGTGGAAATATAATTTTTTCTCTCATATATTCTTCTTGTGTTTGTTTTCTCATTTTTCTGGTGTTCTCAATATTTTTCGGTATCTTACGCGCTTAAAATCCCAACAATTGGTATCAGAGCTTGGTTGCGCTGGGCAGGAGGGATTTGTAAGCGGTAAAAGGAGAAATTTTGAGAACCCAGGGACTGGTCGGTTTTGAACAGAAGGCAACCATGGGACTTCAAGAACAAAGTGGATGGCATGAGGACCGGGTACGAAGCGGCATGCTGGCTTTGTGAAGTATGGTGCGGGAACAGGACTTGAGGAGATCGGTGGTCTAGCGGAGTGGAAAACTGCGGTT